TTATTAGGAATGAAGTTACAAGAGAGTTAGCAGAAAGAACAAAAATATAATTATTATATGATTAATATGTATTCAAACTATATTTATTATATACTATTTTAAATCATATAATAATAATATTGTCAATATATAATAAATATATTGTAAACATATTTAGTAAAAAACATAGGTTTCTATAAAGAATAATTTAAATACAACAAAGTAATATATACGCATTATATTTATAAGTAATTGTCCTAAATTTAGTTTAATTACAATAATTTGCTCGAAAAATTAATATAATGATGATATTAAATGCTCAAAAGATATCGCTCCTGCCCAAATCCTTAAATTCCAATTATTCTCTAAGGATCCAAGAATGAATAATGATCCTAAGATATTATCAGAAGGTAGAGTAACGGATGTACGAAGAGACCAATGAAACTGATTATCTCCAGCATAATTATCTTCAATAAAAGTGATAAAAAATAATATATTTGTTGAAAGGCTGTTTGCTGAAGTCTTGGATCGAACTAATCTTGAAACCAATTCATTGCATAACTTAATTGATTTTGTCCAATTGCGGTACTTGATCTGCGTCTATGTCCGCATCAAGTTGACTGCTCCATTGTAATGAAAGGATTATGCTTTTGTGTAGTAATCTGTGCAAAATCACCTGTGAAACAGTTGCCAGCTACAAAAAAAAAAAAAATGTGAAGAAAGTGATATAATAAACGATCATTATACTATGAAAAATTCGGTTCACTTACGATAGTCTTCTATATAAACATTCGAAGAGATTCCATTGGCTTCAAGAAAGTCAACTATATTTTGACCGGACCATAGTATCAGCGGTTAAGTCGTAAACAGTGACAACAAATTGGCTAAAAAAAGAAGGAATGTTGATATATACGGCAATTAAGATAATAATACGGTAATTAAGATAATATAAGTAAATATACTTGAGAAAGATGCGTGAATGCAATGTAGTTGAAAGTAGAAGACCTTCTTAAACCTTGTAAATAAGATTCTTGCAACGCTCTATCATAAGCAGTGTTTTTAAAATATGATTAGAACAAATTCGGTCTAAATATGTTCCTGGCGTGATAGCATCGATAGTCATTCAATAAAAGAGTAACAGATATAAAATATTTCATCTGAGGATTTGTGACACTTTTGATGAGTAGAATTCATCGGTTTTTATATAATTTACATGACTAAATAATTTTATACTTATTCAAAACATGATGCAATGCTAATATAACGTGCCCTTTTCGTTTAAATGCGTGCGTATATAATAGTATAGCAAAAATATAATATTATACAAACTTTTATACATACAGTCAACTCTGGATATAATGAACCACTTTATAACGAACATAAAAGTCAAAATTTTATAATAATTCGGTGTAAAAAGAGCTATGGTCATTAAGAAAATTTAATAATTTTCTATAATGAGCTTTTTTTCTTCAAGAATCAACAGTCTATTATAGAAAGAGTTGACTTTATTTATTTATTTATTGAAACAAGTAAAAATTTTTATCACCAGCTACACATTCGATTTTTTTTATTGAAATTTTTTTTTAGCTTGAAAACTAAATTAAGTTAATTCTGGATTCTATATGAATCTCTAATTTAAGCTATCAAGAAAATGATGAAAGTCTTACCTCGTCACTTGGGGAAGAATATGAATCTTTAATTTAAACTATCAAGAAAAATAAGAATTCACAAATTATTTTGAGAATCATTATTACAGTTTGTAAAAAGAATGACTTCTGCAAATCACTGCCGCTAATTCACTGAGATTCTAGCAGATTTTTTAATTCTCCAAAAATTTTAAAGATTTTCAATAAATATCACAGGTTGAGTCAATGAATATCGAGTGCATACCGGGAGACAAGTTTCTTGTTATGTACCCGATAGTCTGTCATAGATCCGCCAAATACCTGCTGAATATCAACAACATATTGGCGAGGTAGATCAATATCAGAAACATAATAGCAAATATTGGAATATCCCAAACAGTATTTAAAATTCAGATCAAAACCTACATACAGTTGTGTCATTTTAATTGCACGAACCAACTACTATATCTTTATCATATTTTATATTTAAACTAAATTTTTGAGCAATAAAATTTTTTAATTTCTCTTGCACATCATTTTTTGCGCAAGCTCCTTATTCAAATTTAATTGCACACTTGTGCATGTACATTTAGAACTTCCCTTGCACAAAAAAAATTTACTTGCGGTTTGATTTGATACCCCGGGTTTGTGTGGTGTAGGGTCCGATCGAGATCGGGGTATACTGATGGCGTGATCGGAACTTGCATAATGCATGATTTAATTTAAAGTCTAATTGTAGATAGTTAATGCGTGTAACCGGATGAATTAATACCCGGTTAAATCATTTAATATTTAAAGCGAACATTATAATAATAAAGCTCAGGCAGTTTTAGTATATACGCTAAGTGGACGTCCATACGAATTGAAGTATTGAAACGGACGGTGGAGTACCTGTACGATACTCCAGTCATCGTAATTAGCCAAGCGAGTGTAAATTGATAGTAAAGACCCACGAATACACGGAGTGTTAAAGAACTCCGTGACAACACTGATCCCGATATCTTACTTAGTGCTAAGAGTAAGATATCAGGGTATCCTAATATTGTGCTGTTATGTTACCGATATCGATCTACCTCAAAATATCTTATCAATATTCTGCAGGTATTTGGCGGATATATGGCAGACTATCGGGTACATAACGGAAACTTGTCTCCCCGATATTCATTGATTCAACCTGTGTCTAGCATTACTAATTGAAAAATATAGTATACAGAAATTAGAATCCCAGAAATTTCTCGTATCAAAACACGAAAATTACAAGGTCATGCATTATTATAAAGTGCAATAATACTTTGAAGTTAGAACGTAAAATAGATGATAATTAAAATCATTTCAACTTATAATCACGATACAACTAATAACAGGAATATTCTGATCCTAATACATTGAAAGATAAAATTCATTCACTTAAAGTTTTCAATGCACTACTTATAATCAAAGAAATAATATCAATATAGCATTGTATTGGTTTTATATTAACTACCCAATCATATCCAAAATTCACTTCACTTCAATTTAATTAAAAGTTGAAATTTTTCTTAAAAAAGAATTTTAAACACAACGCATACAATACAATTAATTTTTTATCCTATCTTTTTAATTTATTCATCTTTTGATTCACTCTTTATGCTAATTTTTTTTTTTTTTTTTACGGAATTTCTTTCTGGCAAAGAAAATTTTTTTAAATTACTGTGTTTAATTGAATATATAACATATGATCTCGATATTTTTAAGTGATATAAGATATTTATTTTACTAGCTATAATAGGTGACTTGTCACTTTTTGGAAGCGTGGTCTATTGTTTGCTTTTTGTGGCATTTCACTATTTATTATTTCGGTCAAAGAATTGTGATGCATTTCTTCTGATCATATTTAAGATCATTATATGTGTATTTAAAAGTTAACATTTGTTTATTATAAAAATATTTTCTAATGTTAGTTATGATTCACATATGTTATAGAAAACTATATATAAATAAAGATATGTTTTTTTATCATATTTCAAGCGCAGAATTCTTGCTTAATCCGCTACATTTAGATATTAATGTTTTTGCACTGGATGTAATCATAATTTAAAAAATATAAAAGTTAAATAGTGATATTGTATAAAAATAAAAGATAGTTTGTAAAAAGATACTTACAGAAATATGTAGTTGCACCGTTAAATTAAATTTATGCTTCCTGCATTCTGGGTTTTAGACAGATTTTAAGCTCTCGCCAATGATAAGTAGAATCAAAAGCCAGGTCCAATTCTTGATCTTTATTTACAAATTCTATTTCATATCTCATTAAGACAGCTACTAAAAGTACTTTTATTTCAACTATTGCCCAAAGCTTTCCCTGTCAATATAAATAAAACCTAGAGTAAAAAATTTATTCATACAATATATTTAAGTTCTTAGCTTTTGCAATACGAACCGGACAAACCCTAGCACCTCCACCGAATGTTGCAAATACTTCTCTTGCATTAACTTTACTAGCGTTAATTGATTGTTCATTATCTTCAGTCCGTAAAAATCTTTCAGGATAAAAAATTTCTTCATCAATCCAATCATTTTTATTAACATTTATTCCTTGAAAATGTAATATAAATAATTGCTCTTTTTCCCATAGATATCCACCAACCTCTACAGGTTCATTATTTGTTCGTGGCAACTGTGGAAATGGTGGGTTTAGACGAAGTGCTTCTTTAATTAAAGCATCACAGTATGAAAGCTTTTCTAAATCCTTATAACGGAAATTTGAAAAGTTTGAATGTCCAAATATTGTGTAAATTTCAGTAAGTAATTTGGATTTTATTGAAGGGTATTTGCATATATAGTAAAATACCGAACACATTGTAGTTGAAACCTGTGATAAATTATTTTAATTATTTAATATTATGTTTAATACGCAATTAAAAACATTATATTAAACATTTCCTTACCGTTTCGAATGAACCAAGTAAAATGTCTCTTATAACTCCAAAAACTTCATAATCATTCAATGATCGGTTTAAAGACTTATGTGAACGAAGTTCTATACCATGCGATGTGTTAACAGTAAGAAGCAATGTTAAAAAGTCAGATGATTGTAAAGCATTTTCGGATAATAAATCAATTTCTGTGCGCCTTTGTTGAATTATTTCAATTAAAAAGACTTCCAAATCTTTTATACGTTTTAAAAATTTGCTGTTAAAGAAACTTATTCCAGGAGCATGTCTTATAAAAGGTGGAACTAAATTGAACCCTTGAGTTAATAATAATAATAATAATAAAATTAAAATTAGAAATTTTTAATTTAATAATACTGTAGCTTATTATAATGTTTAAAAAATCATTACATTGCGTTGATTTAAAAAAAGTATTGACTAGAGAAATGACTTTTGAAGATAGTTCCCGTTCCGAAATTGAAAGATCATCACGATTATCATCATAACCCAGTGAATTAAGACAAGTGCGTACTGAATAAGCAGGTAATCCAGTTGTTGTTGTGACTGCTATATCCCCAGAAAGTTTTTCTAGCCATTTAGATAAATCAATTTCCCTCTGGTCATTTATCAAAATATCCCATAACTTAAACATATCAGTGGCCACTTTATATGTTTTCCCTGTAATCATTGTTAAAAAATTTCTTGATCTTACTATTCTTTCAACGAATTCACGATTGATTTTCCATTCATCTAAATTTTTATTAAAAACTATTCCATTATTTCCTACACCAATTTCATCCAGTCCAGGATTTTTTAAATCACGATATAAAAATTTACGACTAAGAGTTACTGAAGAAGTATGAATTGGATGTGCCACATCACCATTAGAAATTATGAGAAATCGTTTAAAGCCAAAGTGAATTTCACAGAAACCCCCGTATTTCGATTGAAGTTCTTTTAAATATTCCGGGAAGTTATTATATTTTAATACATCTAGCGTATTTCCTAACAGGGGCATCCAAGGAAATGGACCAGGTAGCGGATTTACTCTAGTAAAATATTTGTAATAGTATCTGATCATATACAAAAGTAATAGTACGATAACTAAATATGGAAGATCGGTAATCAAATTCTTTATAAGATGCATTTTTGTTATTATAAAACTTATTAAAAGGTAAGAATATAGAGAAAAAAGATGCTATCGCCAGACAATTATAGCGCTTATTTTTATGTTACACTAGTAAGCTAATTAGATAAAAAATTTTGGAATTTTCTATTACACAACTTGCGTAATTTTAGGCGAGAAGTGATTTTTTGTCATTAGTAAAGTGATCATTGTTTTTAAAAAAATAGATAATGTAGCAATTTTTGGATAAATAATTTAATCTATTTGAATTCCATAAAGAATCTGATTGGCCAGTTTGATCAAACAGACCAAACAAATTGCTTGATCATGTGTAACGCAGATCATATTATGTCATTTTTGCTCAATAAATCACTAAAGGGCCGAGGACGGGCCGTATCGGGATCGAAAGTACTATGATAACGGTCTCACTAGGGCCGTGGCCGGACCGGCGGGACCGATGCATCCTAAGACCGAATGTGCACTTATCGTTATTGGGAAAGTGCAATTATAATGTGCGCTTATGGAGTGTCGGCTGTAAATCTATCGCAACAATAAATTATGTGCTACATTAGAATGCGTCATTAGGATGTGCGGACACCCATGAGCGCTAATTTGAGACCATATAAGTTATTCTTGAAGGATGTTTGTTCACATCTGAGGTAAGTAATTACGTCATTTTTGACCAATAAAACATTAAAGGACCGTTTTGGGATGTCTCACTGGGATCGGGACCGGACCGATGCAGCCTTAAGACCGATCAATTATGTGCAATTAAACATTATAGGGAAAGTACATGTGCGCTTATGTAAAATCGACTGTATATCTATCGTAACAGGTTTTTCGTTATGTAGAGTAAGGTGTTATGGTAAACGCTAGCAGTAAAATGGTAGTGTTTGATAGTAATATAAAATTAGAAATACAGTAATGGTTATAGGGATCAACAATGCTCGCGTGATGAAGTCAGCCTGTTCTTTAACGATGGAATTGGATATTAAATCGCAAATCTTTTTTATTTCAGTATTTTAGATACGATTTGAACTCAGGGATATATTACGCATTTAAGAATTGGGTAACTAAAAAGTAGAAGTTACGTATTCTACATATAATGAAATTTTCTAAAGAAAGTAAGTAGAAGCATGATATGCGCAACGTGAAAATCAATTAGTATTATAAATTATAAAGTAGGTATGGGGGAACTTGTTTGTTTTTATTAGCTAGGGTTTGGTATAATGAAGTTTTGATGATTGATATTTTATTTTTTTTATAATTAATGATAATATTGAATAGTGTTATTGCAAATCTGTGTACTATGAGATTCGGGGTAATGATTGGAGACGGAAAGGAAACTGGAAAGGAAGTAGTAGTAGGGTAATGAAATACTAGTGCTAGTTATTGTATATTACAGAGCCTAATCCTTTTCTATTTATTTCAGCGAAGTCTAGCATATTCTAATACTACATTATTATCTGTTCTTATAGAGGTGAAATCAAAAGTAAGTATGTTGAGAGTGTCTCAAGAGGTGGCTCTGCTCATAGCACGTAGACTTGACCCGGGCAAATATGCCTTCATTATACTTATCGTTGTATGAGGTAAAGTAAGGCCCTGTGTTTTATGTATTATTAGGTTGAAAGTCAGTCTGTACCATTATGAGGCTTCGGGACTTTTTGATCAAATCTTGATAATTTATTGGATTATATTCTTGTGTAGACGCTCTCTATCTGCAGCAGTAATTTTTGTTGAAATTATTATATTATAATTCGGTATAATTCTAGTTCAAAGTTTTTTTACTTATATCATTCTTTGATTCTAAATATAAATTTTTGCACATTAATGCAAGGGGTAATCTACATTAATTGGCCAATTAAATTAGCCTTTTCATACATTTAAAGTTAACAATATTTAATATGTAAGTTTCTAATCTTAGACTTAGCATCAAAAATTATATCAAATTGATTAAACATCGATTTATCAATTTAAGAAATTGTGCCCGAAGCTTCATAACAGTACAGACTGACCCATTTTTGAATTGGAAATTGTCTTTTAGTTGCAGGGTTGCTATTTATAGTAAAGTAAGGAGTCTCTTTTTGTATTATTATATTTGTAAAATTGGATTTTATTGGAAAGGTAATTTGAATATTTTTGGCATCAATTATTTGGGCGATGATGTCAATAGTTTCTGCAAATGTCATGTTTGAATAATTTATTATTTAAGAATATAACTGTTGCACCTTCTTATATAAAGTAGTTATTTTTTTAAATAGTTAGTTTGGCAATTGAAGTAAAGGAAATGTTGTTGGTTATAGGCAAGTGGTATGTAGTTCGAGGTGTTAATTGAGTAGGAGATTATTAAACCAATACTTTTACTGTCTAAGTGAGGTTTTTGCACTTAAATTCATTTATTTAGTTCGAAGTTTGGTGTAATCCTACTAGTAGGTTGAATTAATAAAGGTTTAAAATATTGAAGAATTATTAATTTTGTTTTTTTTTTTTACTGTTAAGATGACCTCTTTGGCTTGGAAACTTTTTATTAAGTGAAGATAATATGTTTTACAATTATGATGAAAGTATAGCTAGTTATATATATACTTTTGTTATCCAATTTAAATAGTCTGCCCAAAGGTTCTATACTAGATGTTTCTCAACTATGGAGTTACTTATTTAAGCTTTCTGGTTATAACTATTATTTACTTAAGATGTAACTCACTATTCATATATTTATAGATTTTGCACCCTATCTTTAAACTTATAATTAATCTATTTACAAGATAAACCTGATAGAGCAGTATATGTTCTATACATGTATTTATTTACATGGTTGATAATTTCTTTCTAATTAGTACATATATACTGTTGTCACAATAGCACTATAATATAGATTACATAATAATCTATAGCAAATTATCCAATAAATAATCATAATTTAGTATGATTAAAAAATTAAAAACAAATATGCACTTTGTCAAAAATTACTTATTTTTTAAAAAAGCAGTATAAGAAACTACATTTAGTGTTTTACAAAAAGTTTTTCTTGAGCAATTTTACTATTAAAGCTTCTTTTTTAATATAAACTCTAATCTTAATTTAAAGAACTTTTTGATTTTCATATAATCAGAAAAATATATTCTATATCCTGAATTTATACTACTACTATTGTGTTTATATTTTAAACCATCTTTTAAATACTACTGTAATATAATTTGTATCTCAAGCTATATATTTTTAATTGGTTTTCTGTTATATACTTCTGCTTTCGTAAAGTTTACAACAATTCCAATATCTATATTCTTTTTTTCTAGATATTTTACACTATTTAATTTTTACTGTAAATTATCATAATCAATATTTTACAAACTTACTATTATTATAATCAATATTTTACAAACTTACTATTCTGAGTTACTGTAAATAATTTGGTTACAAATTTACTTGCTATTCCATTGACTATAATATGTGATTAAAGATGAGTTAGTTAGTTTGTATTGGAATTGAGCTACTTAAAAAGTTTATTACAATACTTACTCGCTATTCTGGTGACCATAAATTTGTTTAAAATGAAATAATTTGCATAGAAATTATTGTATTTCCATTGTGAGTTACTATAAAAATACAGAACTTGCTGTTCGGTGACAGTTAATCTGGGATAGTTTGCATTGGATTGTTGTGGCTTCTATTATGATTTACTGTGAATTATTCTGTTACATAAACTTACTATTCTGGTGACTACAATATATGATTAATGTGAGTTAGTTTGCATTGAAATAAATGTGATTTCTATCATAAGTGATTAAAAATTCCATTAAGAACTTATTTGCAATTTTGATAACTACAATAAGTTGTTAAGGTGAGTTGGTTTACATTGGAATTATCTAATTTTCATTGCGAGTATTGTTACAGAACTTACTCACTATTTCAGTGATTTTTATTGTTAGTATTGTAAATGTTCTGTTGTAAAACCCATTACAGTAAAACCTCCATAAGCACACTCTCTATAAGTGTATACCCTCTAAATACACATGCCCAAATATATACATGCCTCTATAAATGCACTTTCTCCAATTAATCTTTAAGTGCACATTGTTAAAGCTTGGTTTCAAGAGCGTGCATTTTTAGAGGTTTTACTGAATTATTCTTTTAATACACAGAATGCAGTTCACTAATGTATGTTATTAGTGTTATCTATACCTCAATTAATAAAATCAAAGATATGTAGAGTGTGTAATGCACAAAAGTTGATTTTTTAAAATCATAAATAGAAAATTGAGTTCAATATTATTATGTAGAAGACTGTTTAAGAATGCATTATATAATTATGGAATTATAGCTATAATCGGGAATGATATGAGAATTGTCAATTATAATCAACTAGCAATGTATTTTTAGTATGTATGTACGTATATAATTTCAAATAAAGTTTACATAGCAATATGCATCTTATTATGGAATCAAAAATACTTCAAAAATTTTGGGGCATGCTCAGAGCGATCTTGATAATCCGCGCAATGCTGCTGATATTCAACAGATATTTGGCGGATCTATGGCAGACTATCGGGCACATATCAGGAAAATTGTCTCACGATCAGGGTTTAAAATTGGCTTGCACAAGATGCACATGTACAAGTAGTTTTTTGTGCAAGAGAAATTCTAAATATATATGCACAAGTGTGCAATTAAATTTGAATAAGGAGCTTGCGCAAAAAATGATGTGCAAGAGAAATTATAAAATTAGTCTAAATATAAAATATGAAGATGAACATAAAATATGAGCAAGCTCAAGCTTAATTTTGCGAAATATTCCGAAAAATTCAACAAAAAATATAAAAATATAAGATATGTTTGGTATAGTAATTTTATAATGTTGGATCACTTAGAGCTAATAAATAAGTACATATAAA